GGTAAAGTGTTGCTGGTGTGCGATGTAGAGTGTTGCTAGTGTGCGAGGTAAAGTGTCGCTGGTGTGCGAGGTAAAGTGTTGCTGGTGTGCGAGTGTAGAGTGTCGCTGGTGCGAGGTAAAGTGTGCTGGTGTGCGAGGTAGAGTGTTGCTGGTGTGCGAGGTAGAGTGTTGCTGGTGTGCGAGGTAGAGTGTCGCTGGTGTGCGAGGTAAAGTGTTGCTGGTGTGCGAGGTAGAGTGTTGCTGGTGTGCGAGGTAGAGTGTTGCTGGTGTGCGAGGTAGAGTGTTGCTGGTGTGCGAGGTAGAGTGTTGCTGGTGTGCGAGGTAGAGTGTTGCTGGTGTGCGAGGTAGAGTGTTGCTGGTGTGCGAGGTAGAGTGTTGCTGGTGTGCGAGGTAGAGTGTTGCTGGTGTGCGAGGTAGAGTGTTGCTGGTGTGCGAGGTAGAGTGTTGCTGGTGTGCGAGGTAGAGTGTTGCTGGTGTGCGAGGTAGAGTGTTGCTGGTGTGCGAGGTAGAGTGTTGCTGGTGTGCGAGGTAGAGTGTTGCTGGTGTGCGAGGTAGAGTGTTGCTGGTGTGCGAGGTAGAGTGTTCCTGGGGACGCCTTGCGCCTTCATTTACAACTATGGATATTGTCACGTTTTGAACATAATTTAGATTTGTTTCGCATCTTGGAAGTTTATTCAGTAATAAAAAGCAACACTGTGTCTCAGGTTGTCTGATGAGAAAATAAGGTTTTGGTCTTTTTTTATATTTCGAGAAATATATTAAATAATCGCCATTCACTGAGAGTCTGGTTGACTTTCTTGGCTTCAGTGTTGTTGCAGATGTTGATATCTGCAAGTCTAATGGGCTTTCATAATGACTTCAAACCTTTCCACCAACTAAAAGTATAATTATTAACTATAATTATTCAGTAACAAAATCTCCCTATTTATAACGCATTAGTTTATGTACTTAACTCCAAGCAATTACAAATTATTTGCATTTAAAATTAAAAATTCCCCAAACTTTCCACGAAGCCATTGTGGGACCTTTGTGATTTCGACACACTTTATGAAAAGTTCTATTGGTTTCTGATTTTCATTTATATCAGCAGTAAGCACACCTATTCGGCTATGCTATTTAAAATTTTCATGATTTTATCTACATTGCGTTAAGTCCGGTTGTTCTAAATGTGAGAAATGCTTTGCCATTTAAGACATTTTTTCAAGATTATTGAGAGGAATATTTGATGGGTGTGGGAGGGAAGAGGAAAGACCGATGGAATGATAAGGTAAAGAAAGCAGTAAGAGAAAAGTTAGCATAAGAGAGGTTTTTACAAAGTAGAAGTGATATAAGGAGGGAGTAGTATATGGAGGGAAATGGAGAGGTTGAGAGAGTGGTGAAGGGATGTAAAAGGAGAGCAAATGAGAGTGGGTGAGATGCTGTCAACAAATTTTGCTGAGAATAAGAAAAAGTTTTAGAGTGAAATATATAAGCTGAGAAAGCCTAGGGAACGAACTGATTTGACAGTTAAAAAATAGAAGAAGAAAGTTATTAGATGGAGAGTCGGAGATATCGGGAAGATAGAGGGAATATTTTGAAGAACTGTTTAACGTTTATGAAAATAGCGAAGCTATGATTTCGTATATTAGCCAAGGAGTTATATCATCATTTAGGAGTGAGGAAGAGCCAGATGAGAGTGTGGGGAAGATACATGATGCAGTGGGTAGAATAAAAGGGCGTAAAGCAGCTGGGATTGATAACCTCAAGACAGAAATGTTCAAAACAGGTGGCGATATAGTTTTGGGATAGTTAATAAATGTATGAAACATGGGATGGTACCTAGGGATTTGCAGAGAACATGTACAGTTCCTTTGTATAAAAGCAATGGGGACAAAAGACAGTGTAATAATTATAGGAAAATAAGCCTGTTGAGTAATCCTAGTAATGTGTAGCGCTGTTATTGAAAGAATTAAGATTAAGACGAAGAGCAGGATCACAGATGAACATGGATTTGGAATAGGCATATGATAGGGTGGCTAGGAGAGCAATGTGGCAGATGTTGCAAGTGTATGGAATAAGTTGTAGGTTACTGAATATAGCTAAAAGTTTTTACGAGGACGAATAGGCTCAGCTTAGAGTATATAGAGGAGAGAGATGATTTCCCAGTTAAAATAGGCCTTAGGCAGGGAAGTGTGATGTCACCACGGTTGTTCAATATATTTAAAGATGGCGATGTAAGAGAAGTGAATGCTCAGATGTCGGGAAGAGGTGTGGGATTAAAAGATAAAGAATGGAACACAAATTGGGAGTTGTCACAGTTGATTTTTGCTGATGACACTGTGTTTTGGGGAGATTCTGAAGAGAAGTTGCAAAGATTGGTAGACGAATTTGGGAAGGTATTTAAAAGAAGGAGATTAAAAGTAAACATTGGAAAGAGCAAAGTTTACCTTGAGTTAACCTGGAGAGATTTTCGGAGGTCAACGCCCCCCGAGGCCCGTTGTGAGACCAGGCCTCGTGGAGGATCAGGGCCTGATCAAACAGGCTATTACTGCTGACCACACGTAAACCGACGTACGAACCACAGCCCGGCTGATCAGGTAAGGTGATGATGATGACAAAATAATTATGTAATGAAAGATTGGATATCAGATTGGAGGGAGGGAGTATGGAGGAAGTGAATGTCTTTAGATATTTGGGAGTGGACTTGTCAGCAGATGGGTCTATGGAAGGCGAGGTGAACCATAGAATTAACGAGAAAAAAAAGGTAACTGGAAGCAAAGAGGGGAATGTATGAGAGAGTAGTGGTACCAAAGCTTTAATATGAATAGTGAATCTTGCAAAAAGGAGAAGACTGTAGGCAGTTGGGATGTCGTGTCTGAGGCCAATGTGTGATGTGAATATTCAGCGGAGAAGCCGTAGCTTAGAGATTAGAAGGAAGTGTGGGTCTCTCAAAGTATTATCCATGGGGCTAAGAAGGGGTTTTTGAGATGGTTCAGAGATTTAAAAAGGCCTGAACAAAACAGAATGACTAGGAGGGTGTATAAAACTACTGTGGATGACAGGATAAGGGTCGTCCTAGGAAAGGTTGGAGGGAGGGGGGTATAAGATGTTTTGTGTGCGAGGGGTTTGGACTTCCAGCACACGTGCGTGAGCATTTTAGATAGGAGCGAGTGAAGGTAAATGGATTTTATGACTTGATGTGCTGTTGGAGTGTGAGCAAAGTAACATTTATGAAGAGATTAGGGGAAACCGGTTAGCCAGAGGTGGGAAATACAGTGCCTGTGCTCTGAAGGACGGGTGAATATATGATGCAGTTTTTAAATGTAGTGTCAACAAGCCTCTGGAAAGGCAGTGATGAAGTAAGTGATCATGAATGTGTTTCTTCTTTCTCGGGTCACACTGCCTCGGTAGAAAACGGCCAGTGTTAATAAATTGAAGAATTCAGCCAAAACTAAGTCTTCTAAATGCACTCAAGATTGCATCAGGATAAACAAAAGCACTCTCTATGATTGAACTTGCGAGTCCATAACTAGATCAGTTTTCTTACTCTGACTAGTGGTCTTACCATCGTCCTTGTTCATTGATACGTGGTTCATTCTGCATTCGTCCTGGTTCGATGCTGCAGTAAATGAACTTCAGTCCTTTTGCCATGCTAAGAGTATGTTACATTTTATTCGACGTATGTCAGACACCCATATAGGCTGCCTCCCGACCACCTAACCAGGTGCTTGTGGATTTAATAAGAAGGGGCCCCATCGTTATACCAGTACCTTGGTTCAACCAATAACAAGGAAGCTTGCCTATGTTGTTAAGCAATGTGATAAACTCGTGAATCATCCTTTGCAGATTTACCGTCACGTCTGATCACTACGGGTCTCATGTGTCTTGTTTAGTGCATTTGCATTATTGTACATAAACGTATATATTGGACATGAGCTGTATATATTGTACTTACCAGATATTTGGTGAAGGAAATGCAAACAATTCTCTGTTGTCTCTTTGCTCGTTCCTACGTGTTTATGGTTCTACAGTCAGGTGTGCAGGCCAGTAGACTACACCTGTATTTGTAAACGTCCTAAGCCTCAGTTAGCTCTGGCGAGGCAACCTGTCCACACTGCACGTCTTTCAAATCACTTAATTTAGGTGAAGAGTTCCCCACTTTCCTCATATGCGACATTTCCAGTGTCACCTATCATCCTTCACAATATTAAACCTTGACAAGGATCGTAAATGATATATTAATTCTCCTGTGAAAAACGCATTTACAACTCGCTTACATTCACATAAACACCTCATTCATTCTCATTGAACTCCATCTAACATTACCATTCCTTCACTATCACTTTCACGCTTTTGCAAACATTTGGAGTTTGCTGCTTTACAGGTACTGACACTCCTCCTTTATAAAAGTCTCATAGAGGGCACCCTCCATACGGAGTTTCTTGTCTTATTTACATTATGTTTCTGCAAGAACATCTCATTCACTTTATGTCTTCACTTCATATATGATGTCCAGCACTTCTTTGCATCTTTGCACAATGGTTTTATATTTGCAGTCAATATATAGAGAAATTTCTTCCTAACATTTTTACTCATGGCACATTTTCCTGAGTACATCTGTATCTCTAGATACCTTAAACTTTACTCTCAGAGTCTTGATTCCCATATCACCTATTCGTTCGTGCCTCACTATTTCTACCAACAACTTCTTTACCAGGTAGTACTGCCCGGCATCAGCAGGTCATCATCTGAGTTTTTGACAACTTGACCATCACGTTTCCCAGTGGTGTGTTTCTTTATAACTGGATCCCCATGAAGGAGAATGCAAGCAAATTTTGCCCCAGGTTCCCTAATACCCAGGATAAGGTTTTAGGTTAGACGGCTATCCAAAATTATAATTAAGAGTAGGGAGCCCCTTGAACTGCACATTTGCTTGCTTGCATTAAGCTGGGTGATATATTTTGTAGTTATTTTTATACTCATTTCAAAAACATGTACGGTGATCCAATATTCTTATTTAGGAGGCTGTACCTTTCGGTGACATAATCTGCTCCTGCCTCCTGACTGGGTGGGTGATGGGGAGTGAGTTCTACACACCTAATTAATGACAAGGTGAGTATATGAGCATGAGTCTCCCACACTTATCTCTTCATAAGTCGAGCGTGGGTTGTGGGTTTGGTTCCTGGAGGTTTTTCAAGTTAATCGTTAGTGGGAAAGTTCACTAAGAATACAGATTTTTCCTCTCGGTTATAGCAAATAGAGGATCAACCATACATAACTCATGGTATTGTATGATTAGAATGGATATAAAACTTTATATTGAAGATAATAGTAATAACAACTGAACACCTAGCACGTTAATCTGCACTTTCTCGTTAAGATCTTGATTTAGTTCAATAAAGTAAAACAGGTCTTCCCTCTCGTGGGATGTCCTGGCTGCTTCTCCCTCCAACCCTTCAAGCAGAAAGGGGGAGAATTCTATTGATGCCAGTGAAGGGTTCTGTATTCTAGGAATTGGATCTATACTCTGCATTCCTTCCTCGGATTATAGCTGACCTCCTCTCATTTCCCCAGTGCTGAATGACCTCTTACAGGGCTAATACTTTCTCATGAATATAACAATAATCTTAATCTCTCTTTTGCATAATATCTTCCCGTCACGGCAGTGTTCTTCTCTTCGGCTCAGTTCAGGAAACGGAAATTAGAAGTTTTCTCTGTAATCTATGAATAATCTGCGAACTCTTCTAGCTGCAATACTTTGGTTTATATTTCTTTTATGTTAATTAATTTTCTGCATCATTGATTCAATCCTTCTATTTTAGATGCAGTGGTGGACAGTAGTGTTGGTGTGTGCTGCACTACTGCAGTCAGTGGTAGCCACCAAAGTGCTCTTCCTGGGACCTGTCTCTTCACGAAGTCACAAGAACTTTTACATGGGCATTGTTAATGCCTTGGCTGATGATAACATCCAGGTTAGTCATAAATGATTGTTAAAGAGATAGAGAGAGAGAGAGTTACATCCCTGTTTTACCTGTCTCAAGAACATGCACCTTGCAGTAACATCCATCAACTCAACCTGACCACAATTGTGAGGAGCCAGTTTATCTATATCCTGTCAGCCAACATTAGAGACTTCAATGCTAGTGTTGGAGAGGTCACGCACAGTTTCGTGAATACTCATCGTACTGACATGATCGCTGCCGTTGAGAGAGTTTTGGAAGGCTTGAATCTGGAAAATTTTGCTAGACTTGCTGGCTACACCTCATCTGTGAAAAGTCACGGGCAAGGATGTGGAGGAGGTGTTGCTGTGTGCTTCTCTAAAAGGTTAAATGCTCAGCCCATTGATGTTGCCATTCCTACTCACCTAGAAATCACATTCTTCAAGGTTTGCATAAACACTGTTATCTCTGTACAAGCGTGTGCAATATACAGACCTCAGTGACAACATGCACACCCCATCAACTTCCTGATGGAAAATGTGGACTCCCTTCTTCTTCAACACAAATGTCAACATATTATTATTGTTGGTGACTTGAACCAACATCTTACATATACAGAGGGACTTTGATGACCTTCTTGCACTGTTTGACATGAGAAACTTTTTTGATTTCTCTACTCACACACCTCTGGCTTGTCTCTCGACACTGTAGTGAGTGATCTGTCAGAAGGCATAGTCACTAGTCAACTCCTTGGCTATGTTGCATAATCTGACCACAAGGCTATCTTTGCTGCACCGAAGATTTCAACAGAACGAAGTGGGAAAGAGGAACCTTGCCAGCCCTTTGCTCTGAGTTCGCCACATCTTCTCCAAGGTAATGTTAACAACCAAGTGAATGCCTTCACTGAACACATCTGTAATCTCCAACAAGAACACATCCCTCACCGGAAGCAAGTGACGAAGCCTACAGATGAACCTTGGTTCAGCTTTCTTTGTCGAGAGGCTGCTACTGCTAAGTCCAAAGATTGAAGAAGGTATAAGAAGCATCCTACTGTCTATAACAGGAACCTGTATAGGCAGGCCTGTTGGCAAATAGTGTCAGTCCAAAAGTGGACCATCTAGAGGTGGGAGGCTGACACAAAAATAAAGCTGGCGTTAAGTAGAAAGGCTCTAAAACCTGGTGGCCCTTGGTCAAGGAGTGACAAGGTTATTCACCTGATAAAATGATTCCACCCCTAAATCGAGAAGATGGGACCTTCTGTAATAGCAGTCAGGAGAAAGCTGACCTTATTGCTTGCCGAACACTTCGTTGCCAAGACGCAAGTTTCTGATCCAGCAAGGAAACCTCCTTTGCTGTCTTCAAGAGCTGTAACAAAATTGTAAGTGGTGACGATAAGACAAGATGAAGTGTATCTTCTTAAATAGCTGGTCTTGGGAGAGGCCGTGGGCCCAGATAAATAGAAGCCAATACTGTTGAGTAGATGGCAGACCAGCTTGAAGTATCTCTTACTAGCATCTATAAGTACTGCCTAGGACAGTGTAAATGGTCTTCTCTGTGGAAAGAGCCAAATGTAGTCCCTGTTCACAAAATGAAGAGCAGAGCGGAAATCAGTAACTACAGACCAGTGTCACTCCTGTCAATCACTGGCAACATTCTTGAGACAATAATCTCACGGCAGTTGACAGAGTTTTTCGACTACCTCTCGCTTATTTGTGACCGTCAATACGGGTTCAGAAAAGGTCACCCTACTGCTGATCTACTGATTTCTCCACTAAGTGGCACCAGTCACTGGATAAAGCCAAAGTCAGCTGTGTACTAGCCCTGAACATTGCTTGAGCTTTCGACAGAATATGGCACCAGGGACTCTTGGCAAAACCGCAAGCACTGGAAATCGCTGGCTATACACTATGCCTTTTCAGTGATTACTTTCTAGGTAGATCTCGAAACGTAGTTGTCAATGGAACAGACTCAGCAATACACTATTGGAGCGAGTGTGCCACAGGGAAGTGTGTTTGGGCCATTGTTATTGAACGTCTACTTCGGTGACCTTCTTTATCTCATTCCAGAATCTCAAGCATATGCAGACGACTGTACTCAGACATTTACTTATCCATAAGAGGAAATGCCAGCTGCTTTAATTTATATCAATTAGCTATATCAACCTGGGGGAAAACAATGGCAGGACACATTTGCGCCTGAGAAAAGGCAAATAATGAGAGTCCCTAGGCACCATGATAGTAATGCTTATGCAGTGGTAAGAATGAATGGGAGGGTGTTTGTACCAAGGGACGAAGATGATATCCTTGGGTTGAAATTTGACTCCAAACGAACTATGAAAAACCACTTTGTAAATCATGCAAACAAAGCGTCCATGAAGCTTACAACACTTCGACGCATTACATTTGCTCGATAGTAGAGGTTCAATAAGGCACAAATGCGCTCACATCTTGAGTATGCTCTGCTTTCTTGGAATGTCTGCACTCCGTCTAATTTACGACTTTTTGACAGAACAGAGAACAGAGCAAGACGGCTCATCTTTCGCCTGGACCCATCCTGGATAGATCTGTCATTTCAGCAGAGTATTCAACACAGGAGGGATGTGGGAGGCCTTACTGTTATGTTTTAGACCAATATTGTCCAAGTACACCACTTGGCTCCACTCCGAGGAGCATTAACTACACTCTGACTGTGCTCTTCTCCAGAACATCTCCTCATCTGAGATTTATTTTTAGGATGACGCGTGGTTCAGCTTCATCCTGTTCCCTATTTTTATATTTCATAACAATAAAAAGGCTTTCAAATGAGCTGATGTTGGTAACAGCTCTTAGCTTGTAAATAAAGTAAGGAGCCTTATCCCACAGTTTAATTAAAACCCTGTGTAGAAAAAAGGAGAGAGAATAGAGAAAATGTGTGTGTGTGTGTGTGTGTGTGTGTGTGTGTGTGTGTGTGTGTGTGTGTGTGTGTGTGTGTGTGTGTGTGTGTGTGTGTGTGTGTGGTGTGTGTGTTTGTGTGAGAGAGATTTGATACAACAGCTGACAAACACTGGTTACTGTAACATCCGTCATATTCTGGAGTCGCAGATCTTCAAGATAACAGAGTACAAATTCTTCTTATACATATAAATAATACATTGCATGCAACTGGTTGTTGTGATAACAACGTATCACTTCCGTTTCGAAATCTTCATATTATCCATAATGGAGGCTCTGGTGGCCTGGTGGTTAACGCTCTCGCTTCACACGGCGAGGGCCTGGGTTCGATTTCCAGCCAGAGTGGAAACATTGGGCGTGTTTCTTTCCACCTGTTGTCTATGTTCCCCATCAAGTTAAATGGGTACCTGGGTGTTAGTCGACTGGTATGGGTTGCATCCTGGGACAACGACCTAATTTAACCGACATGCTAAGCATAACAAGGGGCTTTCTATATAGTAGTATGTCATTGATGTCAGCTGGGCCTGTATACTATGTACATGTACTTGTAGTAAATAAAGATATTATTATATAATTAAAGATATATATTTTACGCTAATTTGAATACATCCATTAAACAAATCTATATCTTACATCGTACGTTATATTGTAATAACAAGTGTTTCTTTAATAGTGGTAAACCTAACTATGGTATTCCAGTTGATGCTTAACCACAGAGAAAGTCATCAAACGTTAATTTCCCGAGTTCGAAGAAATCTGCTTTTTTTCTGAGAACAAAACACCACTATAAGTTTCTTTTTCTTTTACAGGTTACAATGGTGTCGCCATTTAAGTCATCAAAAGTACGAGAAAATGTTCATGAGGTAGTCCTCTCAGGCGGGGATCTTTCTCATCACGCTTCAAATGTTTTTAAGGAAAATAAAATTAATTTTTTTATGACAATGATGAACATTATGCCGCGCCTTTGCGTTGATGCTCTGGGAAAGGAAGAAGTTCAAAATTTATTGAAGGAAGATTTTGATTTGGTTCTCCTCAGCGCGATCATGTCTGATTGTTTCTTGTCAGTAGTTCATCAGTTGAAGGTGAGTCATGTATGTTGATAATGTGTGTTGACAGTACAAGTGAAATATACACAACAATGAAGGCCTATTCCATATTATTATTATTATTATTATTATTATTATTATTATTATTATTATTATTATTATTATTATTATTATTATTTATTTTATATTATTAGCACATCGGCTGTTTCCCACCAAGGCAGGGTGGCCAGAAAAAGAAAAACTTCTATAACCATTCACTCCATCACTGTCTTGCCAGAGGAATACTTTCACTACAGTTATAAAACTGCAACTACAGTGCCGACAGAGTGTCGGCACTGTACTTCCCATTTCCAGGAATCAAGTCCGGCCTGCCGGTTTCCCTGAATCCCTTCAAAAATGTTTCCCTGCTTATACTCCAACAGCACGTCAATCCTAAAAACCATTTGTCTCCATTTGCTCCTATCTAACACGCTCAGACATGCTTACTGGAAGTTCAAGCCCATCGCACAAGAAACCTCCTGTACCCCCTCCATCCTAGGTCGACCCTAACCCCGCCTTACTTCCACTGCTGATTTATACACTTTCGATGTCAATCTATTTTGTTCCAAACTCTCTACGTGTCCAAACCATCTCAATAACCCCTCCTCAGCCCTCTGGTTAATAGGTTTGGTAATCCCACACCTCCTACTAATCTCCAAACTACGGATTCTCTGCATTATATTCACACCACACATTGCCCTCAGACATGATGTCTCCACTGCCTCCAGCCTTCTCCTTGTTGTAACATTCACAACCCATGCCTCACACCCATACAAGAGTGTTGGTATAACTATACTCTCATACATTCCCTTCTTTGCTTTCATGGATAAAGTTCTTTGTCTCCACAGACTCCTCAGTGCACCACTCATCTTTTTCCCCTCGTCAATTCTATGATTCACCTCATCTGTTGACACATCCATTCCCAAATATCTGAATACATTCACCTCCTCCATACTCTCTCCCTCCAATCTTCCGATCCCTAATTTTGTTATCCTCATCACCTTACTCTTTCCCATATTAACTTTTAGTTTCCTTCTTTTACATACCTTACCAAACTCGTCCACCAGCCTCTGCAATTTTTCTTGAGAATCTCTCAACAGCAAAGAGTAACTGCGACAACTCCCACTTTGTGTTAGATTCTTTATCTTTTAACCCCACACATCTTGCGATGACCCTCGCATTCACTTCTCCTACAGCTCCATCTATAAATATATTGAACAGTCATGGTGACATCACTTATCCCTGTCTAAGGCCTACTTTTACTGGGAAATAATCTCCCTCTCTCCTACATACTCTAACCAGAGCCACACTATCCTTGTAAAGATTCTTCACTGCTTTCAGTAACCTACCTCGTATTCTATTATTATTATTATTATTATTATTATTATTATTATTATTATTATTATTATTATTATTATTATTATTATTATTATTATTATTATTTTTAATAATAATAATTATAGTAATAATAATAATAATAATAATAATAATAATAATAATAATAATAATAATAATAATAATATATATTATTATTATTATTATTATTATTATTATTATTATTATTATTATTAATTATTTTCAAAGCAGTTTATTGATACTATATTCATTGAATAGTTCTTAACCCACATAAGTCATACACCAGCTGGGAACGGGAAACTATCAGGTATGGTTCGAGGAGGGGTAGGGCTCCTTCATAATCTTTTATCAAGAGTTTCAGCAGCCTGAAGGCATCTTCCCACCGCCGTCATCGGAACTACAAAGAATCTTAGAAGTGCTGAATATTCGACTATATACAAATACTCAAATAATAGCCTGTAAAATATTTCCAAGCAGGAATGTGTTTAGCTTATCAGTCAGAGATTCAAGTTACTCTAGAGACCCAGGCGGTACATTATAAATAGCACAGGGACTAGAAGGATGCTGTGTGAGCGAGTTAGTTCAGGCAATTACGTAACGTTGCGTCATTTTATTTAATCATCTGCAAAATAATTTATTTATAGTAGTTTCTATTTTTAACTTAAAGCTTACAAAAACTAAATTATTTTAAGATAATATTAAGGCCTATGAATCTACAAAGAGTATAAAATATATGCCAACTGCCTCGCAGACTATGAGAGTAGAGTAGATGCAGCCAGGAGACCTGAAAGGAGTAGTGCGCATCATTCCTCTAATCAGACATTAACGAGAAAACTAATATATCTCGCTGCATTGTTTAACAGTGCTGTGAGGTACAGTACATATAAAGACATGGTCTTTCTATACACGAACTAGTTTACAAATTTCTTTTTTTTTTTTATTAAAATTTCGTCCGTTTTCCACCAGGGCAGGGTGACCAGAAAAAAAAGAACACTTTCACCATCATTCACTCTAACACTGTCTTGCCAGAGATACAATTCACCACAGTTAAAAAACTGCAACATATCAACAACCCTCCTTCAGATTACAGGCACCGTACTTCCCACCTCCAGGGCTCAGTTCCGACTAACAAGTCTCCATGAATCCCTTCATAAATATTACAATGCTCACACTGCAATAACACGATAAGTCATAAAAACAATTTGTCTCCACTCTCTCCTGTTTAACACACTCATGCACGCTTGCTGGAAGTCCAAGCCCCTCGCACACAAAACCTCCTTTACCCCCTCCATCTAACCTTCCCTTGGCCGACCCCTACTCTGCTTTCCTTCCACTACTATTTTATATGCCTTCCAGTCATTCCAGTTTGTTCCAGCCTCTCTAAATGTCCAAACCATCTCAACAAACCTTCCTCTGCCCTCTGGATAATACTTTTAGAAACCCCCAAGCCTCTTTCTAATCTCCAAGCTATGGATTCTCTGCATTATATTCACACTGCAAATTGCCCTCAGACGCGACATCTCCACTGTCTCCAGCCTTCTCCTTGTTACAATATTCACCACCCATGCTTCACTCCAGTATAAGAAAGTTGGCACCATTGTACTCTCATACATTCCTCTCTTTGTTTCCATGGATAACTTTCTTTCTCTCCACAGACTCCTTAGTGCTCCCCTCATCTTTTCCCTTCATCATTTCTTTGATTCACTTCGTCTGTCACAGACCTATCTGCTGACATGTCCACTCCCAAATTTCTAAATGCATTCACCTCCTCTATAATCCCTCCTTCCAAACTGATATCCAATCTTTCATTACCAAAATTTCTTGTTATCCTCATTACTTTGCTCTTTCTTACGTTCACTTTAAATTTCTTTCTTTTCAATACTCTTCCAAACTTGTTCACCAACCTCTACAACTTCTCTTCAGAATCTCCCAAAAGCAGAGTCATCAGCAAAAACCAAGTATGACAACTCCTACTCTGTGTTAGATCCTTTAGGTTTGGTTATAATTAATACATATTTTAAGAAAAAGATAATAAATAAGTATACAAGATATGATGTAGGGTGTAATGACAATAGTTTGTTGGATTACGTATTGGTAGATAAAAGATTCGAATGGATTCGATAGTTAAAAATAAGAGAGTAGAGTTATTAAATGGAGAGTTAGCGGTATCAGGAAGATGGAGAGAATATTTTGAGGAATTGTTAAATGTTGATGAAGACAGGGAAGCTGTGATTTCGTGTATAGGGCAAGGAGGAATAACATCTTGTAGGAGTGAGGAAGAGCCAGTTGTGAGTGTGGGGGAAGATCCTTAGGCAGTGAGTGGATTTTATTTAATAAATGTATGGAAGAGGGTAAGGTATCTAGGGATTTGCAGAGAGCATGCATAGTTCCTTTGTATAAAGGTAAAGGAGACAAAACAGAGTGCAAAAATTATAGGGGAATAAGCCTGTTGAGCATACCAGGTAAAGTGTATGGAAGAGTTATTATTGAAAGAATTAAGAGTAAGATGGAGAGTAGGATAGCAGATGAACAAGAAGGCTTTAGGAAGGGTAGGGAGGGGGTGTAGACCAAGTGTTTACAGTGAAACATATAAGTGATCAGTATTTAGATAATGGTAAAGATGTTTTTGTGGCATTTATTGGTTTTGAAAAGGTGCATGACATGGTGGATATGGGGGTAATGTGGCAAATGTTGCAAATGTACGGAATAATAGTTAGGTTATTGAAAGAAGTGAAGAGTGAGGCTCAAGTTATAGTATGTAGGAGAGACAGAGTATTTCCCAATAAAAGTAGGCCTTAGACAGGGAAGTGTGATGTCATAATGGTTGTTCAATACATTTATAGATGGGATTGTAAGAGAAGTGAATGCTCTGCTGATAGCAAGAGGTGTGGGTTTAAAAGATAAAGAATCTAACACAAAGTGGGAGTTGTCACAGTTGTTCTTTGTTGATGACACTGTTCTTTTGCGAGATTCTGAAGAGAAGTTGCAGAGTTTGGTGGATGAGTTTGGTAAGGTATGTAAAAGAAGAAAATTAAAAGTGAATCTAGGAAAGACAGTAAGATGATGAGGAAAACAAAAGAATATTAGGCAACGAAAGATTAGATATCAGGTTGGAGGGAGAGGGTATGTAAGTGGTGAATGAATTCAGATATTTAGAAGTGGAATTGTCAGCAGATGGGTCTACGAAAGATGAGGTGAATCACAGAATTGACCAAGGTGAGTGGTGCACTGAGGATTTGTGGAGATAAAGCACTTTGACCATGGAAGCAAAGAGGGTAATGTATGAGAGTATAGTTATACCAATGCCCGTATATGGGTATGAAACATGGGTAGTTTATGTTACAACAGGGAGAAGGCTGGAGGAAGTGGAGATGTCATGTCTGAGGGCAATGTGTGGTGTGAATATAATGTAGAGAATTCGTAGTTTCGAAATTAGGAGGTGTGGAATTACCAAGACTAATATCCAGAGGGTTGAGGGGGGCTCTTGAAGCGGTTCAGGCATGTAGAGAGGCTGGAACAAAATAGAATGACTTCGAAAGTGTATAAATCTGTAGTGGAGGGAAGGCGGGGTATGGATCGGCCTAGGAAAGGTTGGAGGGAGGGGGTAAAGAAGGTTTTGTGTGCGAGGGGCTTCGACTTCCAGGAAGAATGCATGATCGTGTTAGATAGGAGCAAATGGAGACAAGTGGTTTTTAGGACTTGACTTGCTGTTGGAGTGTGAGCAAGGTAACATTTATTAAGGGATTCAGGGAAACTGGCAGGCCGACTTGAGTCCTGGAGATGGTGAGTACAGTGCCTGCACTCTGAAGGAGGGGTATTAATGTTGCAATTTTGTAACTGTAGTGCTAGCCACCTCTGACAAGACAGGGTGGAAGTGAATGATGGTGATTTTTTTTTGGGGGGCCACCCTACCTTGGTGGGAAACGGCCTGTGTGTTAATAAAATAACAAGTAAATTATTATTAAGTGTACAGTGACTACCCGCACCTGTCCCCACCCATCTCCCTAACAGTCAGGCTGCCACCCCCACTGTAGAGGGCAGTTTTCCCTCACTGCTCCTTATGCCCAAAACCCAGAGTGAAATTTGTTCTTCCACGCACCATACACCCTCGATGCATTCATTATGGTGGCCTCCTCCACAACCTTGTTCCACCCAGCATGCTGTAGAGTCTAGCAGCCAAGGAAATGGCACGGCTAGCAATGCTATGAGAGGCAAGTGTCGATCGTGTTTACAGGTTTCTGGTCTCAACACTAAAGCTTTCCTCAATTATGAGAGCCACCTAGGTTCAGGACGTCCTCCCATTGAAAGTGATGACCCACAGCCACTCCAGGCACCTAAACATATCCCACCAGACCTCATCTCTTCAGATAATACCTTAGAAGCAATCAAAGCAACAGTTATGAGGACTCTCACACATATTCCCAAACCAGGTCGTCCACAAGCAGCCTGGAAACTCACAGACCTCTTGAAAAAAGAAAACGATAGTTCCACTATCCTAAATGCCCCACCAATGATCAAGGCATGGCACAACTTTCTTCCTTTCGACAATGTTTGCTTAGCTGTGCCGGAAAGAGGTGGAAAGTTGCTAGCCCGGACAATCATTAAATCTTTAAGAGAGTTTCTTAGGGCTGACAACTTCATTCACCTTCCTCATCAATACCAAAATAGGAGATGCGGAGCTCTAATCGTTTCACTGACAGTGAAAAATCAAAGTCCAAGTGAACAAGAAAACTGAAGGGCAACACAGTTGGGGCAATCAGGACAATCACGAGTGAAGATACAGTTGCCCCGAGGAATGCTTACACTGCTCAAGCATTTAAAAAAAATCACCCGGCCAGGGAAACCAGGGACACCAACAGTTCTAACATCCCTGTCCTCACTTTGGAACCATGGTTTATGCAAGAATCAGATGTTTACAAAGCAATTATGTCGTTCCCATGTGGCTCTGCTGGGGGCTACAGTGGAATGAGATCCCAGCATTTGAAAGAAATGGTTAATCCAGTTATCGGAGAGATTGCAGAGACACTGCTTTTTGGAATCACAAGGCTCGTTAACAATTCCTTGGCATTGGCTTGTCTGATTCCTGACGAAATTAAACCTTTTCCTTTGGTGCATCACTTTGTGCCCTGAAAAAGAAGAATGGAAGAATTAGGCCAGTTGTCGTGGGAATAGTCATCACCGCCTCGTTTCCAAAGTTGCTGTCCGTAATATTTGCACGGAGGCGGTTATGATGCTTTAACCAAACCAGCTTTGCTTTTGGGATCTCTCAAGGAAGCGAAGCAGCGGTTCATGCAACAAGGGCATATATCAACAACCTTCCTGAGGACAATGCAGTGGTAAAATTAGATTTCAAGAATGCAATTTAATCTCTGAAAAGAGACGTGGTATTAATAGCTGTACAAGATTATTTCATGGTCTCTTTCATTTTGTTTCAGCAGGATTCAGCAACGAATCAATGCTCCTGTTTGGAAAACATGAAATCCCTTCGTTGGAGGGTGTCCAGCAATGGTATCCTCTTGCTCCATTTCTCTTTTGAACAGCGGTTAGGGAAACCACCTTCAGGCTGACCAGTGAGAGAAACATCTGGTTCCTGGTTGATGGCACATCGGAGTCCCTTCTAGATGATCTTGACCATTTGAGCATACGGGGACTCATCATGAATCCATCCAAATGTGAAATCATCTCAGTCAATCAACAAGTGATCGGCACAATGAGATAAAACTACCAGGAGCATCAATCATTGCCTCCACAAATAGCGTCTTGCTTGGAGCTCCTCTGGGAACTGATGCCATTGGCTCAATTCTCAGGAAGAAACTGGACGAGTTGAGGAGGATGGAACAACGAGGAGGCAATCTTGACACTCATGATGCCTTGTACCTTCTCACAAAGTGCTGGAGTCTTCCCAGGTTGACATATTTACTAAGATATGCACCCTCATATGATAACCCTGTACTGCATGAATACGACGGTGTCCTGAAGCAAATCTTTACGAAAGTTCTCAAATCTTACGCTAGAAGACGAACAGTGGCAACCAAGCTACATTTCTAGTCAGACTAGGAGGTATTGGTGTCTGCAAAGTATCACAGATTTCACTAACTGCCTTCTTGTCCACATGCGTTAAATCCAATTTGCTTGCAGCAGCGATTCTCCCTGAACACCTCATGACAATGTTGAAGTTCATGACCAAAAGTTCGTTGAAGAAGCCACGCTTTGGAATAATCTAACGGTCTCTGCAGCCAAACCTGCTTCCCCCCAACAGCTACAGCCACACTGGGATGGCCCATAAGTGGAAAAAACAGCCTCAGTCATGCTTCAGAGTGTGTCGGGGAAGGATAGAGCCCGACTATTAGCAGTGAGAGCTCCTCCTGTTGACTGTTCCCCACTCCTTCCTTGGCACACTTCTCGACCCGCAGACCATCCGCATTAGTGTTGCCCTTCGCCTTGCCACCCTAATTCTCGCCGAACATGTCATTGCTATAATAATGGAATACTTTTCTCGGATCGCTCAGCGACCGAAATACATTTAGTATCAAAATTATTGCTATTGTTATTATCATTATTTTTATTATTATTATTATTATTATTGTTGTTGTTGTTTTTGTTGTTGTTGTTGTTGTTGTTGTTGTTGTTGTTGTTGTTGTTGTTGTTGTTATATTTTTTTTTTTTGTTATTTTATTATTATTATTATTATTATTATTATTATTATTATTATTATTAGTGTATTCTCAGCTTATATAAGGGTATTTTGTCTTCAGGTTCCTTTTATATACGTGAGCCCGGCAGGGTTGATATCACCACTGCCATCAATAACAGGAAACACACGATTTCCCTCCTATGATGCAAACATTATGATGGACTTCAAACATCCTATGACGTTCATGGAGAGAACAATCAGCACGCTCTCTGACATTGCTTGGGACGCTATGTTCTATTACTATATATCTCCAGCGTATGTAATCATTATTTTTTCTCGATTTTTATGTCATGAATAAAGCGTGCAGGAAATCTCCATACACTTGTTGTCCTTTTTCTCACTTAGCAGTAAATAGGTAACTGGGTCTTCGCATCCTTACACCTGCTGCTATTGTTGACTTAACTTACGTGAAAATTAGCATTTTTCAACGTACCCTTTCTCTCACTCATCCATCAGGAGTAAATAGGTTCTTAAGCGTAAATATTCTTTCATCAGTTGCTACTTTTCAATTATCATCTTATTGATGCCTGTCTGTTAGTCGAGTGTTGTTAGTGTATCCTGGGGGAGGAGGCATATCATAGCCATGACAGGACTTTCAAATAACCTGTGAGGCCTAACAGGTAAATTCAACACTTTTAAACGCCTCGTATTGTAGATACACTCAAAATTTACTTTAATTTCTCTTTACATATTAAAGTATTTTTGACTCTTGGCGGAATGTTCAAAGATATACTTTCTGACTTCAATTGCTTCAAAATCAAATGTGCCTAAATAGTGATTGTTTCCTGTCCCTCGTACTGTTGACAAGTTTAAAATAAAACAAACCAAACTTGACGATAATAATTTAACAATACAATATCTTCTTTATTTTGGGCAATTGAACATATATATAAATAACTGACATCTGTACCTAGAAGGGTGAAACATGTAAGAGTGAAAGATAAAGAGTAGCAATAGCAGTTCTCCACTACAAAAATGTAATCATTAAACACATGACAGATGGTAAAGATTTGGTAAATAAAGTTCTCGGATATAATAAACCTTGCAGAATGTAACTTCCAATGGCGTGAGGTTCAATGCTTGACGAAGTTCTGAGCCAAATGACCAGAAGTTCTCCTGACAGAGTCATAATGCGAGATCCATATTAGGAAACAATTCCTCACTTCACCTGATAAAAAAAATAATATAACCCATTCCATTGCTGATGTAAATAATATAACCCATTCCATTGCTGATGTAAATAATGTAACCCATTCCAATGCGGAGGTAGACTAATGTACTAACCCACCTCTTACATACCCAATTTATTGAATAATAAACGAACAACTTACTAAATATACACATTCTCTTTATTCATTTTACCCACCAGAGGAGAAATAATTTAGGAAAACGCTATTAATAAATTCATTTTCTCCATTTTTCACAGAACAGAATCTGAATGTCGTCGTCGCGGCCTTTGTCCAGATGATATGCCCAGCCTTTGGGAAATCGGTTCAAATACAAGTCTTGTACTGATAAATAGGTTAGTTACAACTTGCATGATAATAATAATAATAATAATAATAATAATAATAATAATAATAATAATAATAACAATAATAATAATAATAATAATAATAATAATAATAATAATAATTATTATTATTATCATTATTATTATTATCGTTATCATCATTATCATTATTTGAGTGATAAGCAAAACTTTGGTAGTTAAATCTGTTGATTCACATCCCATGTAACCCAAATTGGATAGTCAGGCCGGGATAGACGAACAGGCAAGTTACGCAAGTAACCCGCACATAGAAGAGAGGACCTTACGACGACGTTTCGGTCCGACTTGGACCATTTACAAAGTCACACTGTATCGTTCCAGTCACGGTATTGTGCTTTTTTTTTTATTTAACAGGCAAGTCTCCTAACATTTGCTACAACTATTATTATTATTATTATTATTACTACTATTTCTGCTACTACCACTATTTCTACTACTGCTACAAAAAAATTCCCCTTTACCATCTTCCCCATAAGAAGTGTTGTTTGGCCATCTCTACTTTTGTCGCCCAAGAGTGGTCTGACAATGGCCCAGGAAGGGCCAAAATATGGACCGAACTTTGCATTAAGTTGAGCAGGAAAACTGCTCTTTCCTTCCATTTACCCCTTATAACATTATAAGAAAATGATTCAAGAGGGACATTTTTTCAGTGCAAGTTTTCATTGACAACCTTTCAGTCAGCATTCTTTATGATAACATGATAATGCTTGACACTTACAGAAGCAGTGTGAGACCTGCTCCACATTCTGTGTTTCTATACCATGCCTTTGATATGATTTATCATGCCAGAGAAAACGAAAATGATTTGATATATGTTTAAGGTTAACAAAGTTTAGATTGTGTTGAATTTCTACAGCATACAAGCCGTCGATTATCCAGCTCGTCCTGTTGTTCCTGCAGTGGTGCATTGTGGTGGCATACATCTGCGTCCTGCACAGCCTCTCTCACAAGTAAGTTACCCCTACACATTTACAATTCGTTTCCTTGGTCCTACAAGGCCAACTCCCACATATTCCCAAAGCCTTCATGGCAGAACTGTTATTGATCCAGACTCATTAGTGTATGGATCAATAACAAGCTTCTTAAGCTGTTACTGATTAAACTGAGGGGTTCCACAGGGATGTGTTCTTAAAACCCTGTTTCTATTATCTGTTAATGGTTAAGCCTCAGCACATTCTTGGTAAATTTAGTCCTATTTATATGTGGGAGATTTTGATTTTGCGTGAACAGATACAGTGACTCCCGAAATCGTAATGACACGATTGCAAACAAACCATACCCCGGCCGGGATTGAACCCGCGGTCAGAAAGTCTCAAAACTCCAGACTGTCGCGTTAGCCACTAGATACAGTCATAAAGAGCGCAGCTTCCTGTACATGCTGCCGAGCTGCGTCACACCTGTTAAAGTTCTCAGTATTCAAACATAGTCGATTGAATTCATTCGGCGTTGTGTTATTCTCAATTTAATATGATATGACATATTTCACATGGACAATCTTTTCTTAAAGGATCTAGAAGACTGGGTGCAAGATGCTGGTGATGCTGGCTTCATCTTCTTCAGTCTTGGGTCAGCTGTCACGCCCTCCAGTATGCCAGAGGAGTAAGAATTATCAAAGTTACTTAATAAGATCATTGTCATGGAAAGCACTAAATCCATACAAATCATATAACGCCTAGGGAATACAAGTTGAAGGGGGTTATACGATTTGTTCTGAGTAAGGAAAGAGTACCTCTAGTTCCTTGAATCGAGAGTCCTTCACCAGCTTCAAGGCACACCCTTGAAAGAAGAGAAGTGAACCGCCTCTTCAGATTTTATTTAGGGATTACGTTTGGTCCACAGCCGATAGCTACCGAGTTCAATATTCAGATCAGCAAACAAGTAATGGGCAAGTTTCCTTACATGTTCTTGTCCCTTCCCACATTAGAGTAAAAATAGGTACCTGTGTTTCAGCGAAGAAAAGTGCAGTGCAAAAATATAATAGTCAGGTAATAATGGAAATGCAACCCGCTCTTCCAGAAATTGTCTCACTTTCACATAGGGTTTGCAACCCATTTCTAAGCTAGGTTGAGTTAGGTTAGATTACAAAGAATAAAATATTAAGGTAAAAAGGATAAAACAGACTGCCGCGTGAACAATATATGTCATATTTCAACTGTTCAAGGCTCCGTCAACAAGCTATCCATATGACTGATTTTACAACAGTACGATGATGTCTGTGGTTCAGAGGAAGGACTGTTTAAATGACAGTGTTCTCTTCAGTGTATGTAGGTAAGAAAACTAAAATATACTGAACGTATTCCAGAGTAATATAAAATATATTTTTTACATATTATTATTTTATAATAATAAAAATAATAATAATAAGTAATAATAATAATAATAATAATATATAATAATAATAATAATAAATAATAATAATAATAATAATAATTAATAATATTATTATTATTATTATTATTATATATATTATTATTATTATATTATTATTATATTATTATTATTATTATTATTATTATTATTATTATTATTTAGGCTGATTCAAAAAAGAAGAAACACTTTCACCATCATTCATCCCATAATTGTCTTGTCAGAATCGAGCCAATACTACAGCTTGGATGCCGCTCTAAACTGCAATATCTCCACCCCTCCAGGATTCAAGTCTGGCTAAAGAGTTTGCCTGAATCCCTTCATAAATGTTTCCTTGCTAACACGCCAAAAGCATGTAAAGTCCTAAAAAACACTTGCCTCCACTCATTCTTAACACACTCGTACGCACCTTTTGGATGTCTAACTCTCTCGGGGAGAATTCCTTAGCAGAGTTTCGTGATCAAGCAATCTTATTATTTACTTGGGAAAAAACTTCCCCAACATATATCACAGATGGCACTGAGAAACTGTACCATTTAGTGAGTATCTCGATACATGGAACTGGATATTTGAAATTGGTGCAAGTTTACCTGTCGCTAATTCCTCGCTCCTCACAGTATTGAACCTGAAAGTTCTCTTTCTTGTTTCTTAATTCTACAAGGAATAAAACAGTGTATGTTTGTGTGTGTCCATATAGCTGCACAATAAAAGCAATAAATAGTTGATAATATGTCTCACTTAAAGGTACTGGACCTGCACACTGTGATCCATGATCTGCCGTCACCAACTTTATACACTCTCACTATAACTCTGCTAGTTATGAACATTTTTGTTTAGAAATATATTAAAAAACTGTTGTAATTTCAAATAAACTAATGTAAAGATTTATTCAGAATAAGTTTAAAGTTTCTGTTCCTTAAGTTTTTTTTTTTTTCCACTGTATTGATTTGTTAATCAATATACTAATTAAAAAGTTATAGCCATATGTTATGCCAGTCCTCTATCACCCAGGAAAATTTCCTTAAAATATTTACTGCAGGATTCGCATGAAGGGTTCCTTCCACATAGGAAAATCTGTTCATATTCTTTCGTCACATTTGATTTTTTTTTTTAATTTTTAATAAATATTTAAATAATTAGTTTAACTAAATCATCTTAATTTGTAAATTCTGTTACCAGAGTAATTAAATAATTGTCATCTGGATTACACACTAAGAACTTCATAGTTTTAGACTCATATATTTCCTCAACCAGAGAGAAGGGCTAATTACTGACAAGTATAATGACAAAGATGCAAGTTGTAGAACAAACTTTAGTTAGACATAAAGTGTGTTCAGTGTAGAACATTATCATGACTTCACAAAGCACTACTAAGGGCGACACATTGTTTTCATAAAGCTTATTCTCCAACCTGTTTCTTTGTCTTTATATTTTCCATGTTTTTTTTCACGTTCAGGAAGGTGTGAGCAGCAGTATAATTAAACTAAACTCACTAAACACACAGGTACCGCACAATCTTGGTCCAAGTGTTTGCCTCCCTCAAGCAGAGAGTCTTGTGGAAGTGGGATAAGGACACTATGGATGACTTACCACCAAATGTCCGTCTTGGCAAGTGGCTCCCACAACAAGATATTCTTGGTAAGTAGATCTTAGTCCTTACACCAGGCCTAGAGGCCTGTCGCTTAAAAAGACTCATAATGTTGAGATATATCTTTTCAAAATTATTTTGAAGTATCTCAAAATAAAATTATTTATGTCAAGCTGAAATAACATTAAATATTTCATAACTTTTTAATTATTATTTAAGTAATGCCGAGAGAAATAATATTTAGTATTTTATAACTTTTCATTGTTATTGAATTCCATCCCATTATTGTAAGACCCTCATTAAAAATTCCTGCAGACCCTGTTGGACTATAACCAGGCTCATTAATTCCCATTAAATGAATTATTAATAAACACATTAAACGAAGACAAAAATCCAGCATCACAGAGTTACTTCAGATGAAGACAACTCTGACATTATTTAAACGTAATTCACAGAAACTACTGCAATGTTTGGAACTTTCAGTGTGTTTCCCAATGGGTAAAATAATAAAAATAATTTTAATAATAATAATAATACTAAAAAAAGAAGAGGAAGAAGAGAGGAAAACTAACATGTTATATAACACAGGTGACCCTCGCTTGCGTTTGTTCATCACACACGGTGGGTTGCTGAGCACCTTGGAGTCCATGTACCACGGTGTGGCGGTGCTGGGAATGCCTGTGTTTGCTGACCAGCATTCCAACATGAACATGGTGCAGAGGAACGGCTGGGGCAAAGTTCTTCTCTGGGAACAACTTTCCTTTGATAATCTCAAGAATATGATCAACATCATCTTGAATGATGAAAGGTAATTGTGACCTTAAGATTATAGCTTTAGCGTGAAGGTTGACTTTATTGTTTCAGTGTTTCAGTTTTTTCACCAAGGGTTACAAAAAAAGATAAAGATATTACCATTACTCATTCACTAGATCACTCCAGATATACAACGACATAACTACTCCAGTAATTCATTGCAACGCAACACATCAGTCGCGTCCAACAAACTCTCGTGATAAATTAAAAAGGATGTTAGATCCCTGTAAAGGATTATGAAAGAAATTATAATAATATTAATAGTGAAACTGAGTGTTTTTCGAAACATTGAATTGCTTCCTTCTCAAATCTTTGTGAATAAGACAAACGGATCCAAATTTCACTCTAAATATATTACAGTGACAAGACAGTGATGGAGCGATGATAAATGTTTTTTTTCGGGTCACCCTCCATAGGTGGGAAACGGCCGATGAGTTAATAATAAAAAAAAAGTTACCTTAACGCTGGAGATGACCCGCAATATGAAAGGAAATAGATTATGTATGGTGTCAAAACACGAAGGAGAATTGAGAATAGTTAAGTGTAAGTACTTCCGTTGTATTAATATCATATAGCACCTGAGAAATAGTGGTTTATTAGGCTTGATCCAAAGAGAGAAATAGTAGATTTATCTATTTTGGATCAAGAACCCTTCATCAGAATTAAGGCACCTCTATTTTGAAGGATTAGCTAACATACATGATGCGATATTTCTGTAATGACGTGAGTAATGATGCTATTTGTAAATCAAATAAATAATACAAATAATTTCTTGGTGTGTGTGTGTGTGTGACGAGGCAGCATGAGAGCTGAAGTAGCAAGAAGGTCCAAAGTTATGAAAGATCGTCCACAGGATCCAGCAGAGGTGGCCCTCTACTGGACCAAGTATGTAATACGACACAAGGGAGCCCCACATCTCCGATGTCCTGCGTCCACCATGACTTGGTCAGTACAACCCAGGAATGATGAAATATAATAGCTGTTGTGCAGAACAACCACTGTGAAAAAAATAGTGAATTTCCAAGAGCTTTCGTGACCTCTCACATTGTCATAATTCCTTTAGAATGTGAGAAATTATGAAAACGCTTGGAAGTTCACTATTCTTTCCACAATGGTTGTTCTGCATTTTATGATATCACTTTTTTACTGTGATCTTATTGCATAATAGTTAATGCAACTAATAATAATAATAATAATAATAATAATAATAATAATAATAATAATAATAATAATAATAATAATAATAATAATAATAATAATAATAGCAACAACAATAATAATAATGTATCATTATAAAATTGATAAATATTTATGTTGAGAAATACAATGAAAAGTGAACACTTCACAACCAAACTACAAATTATAACTGGAAAGTTAGAAAACGTTTTATTTCCTCCTGAAATTTATAGCGCTCCAGAAGCATTAAAATATCGACGTGTTATAATTAGGAATTTGTATGAGTGATATGGAGAAATATGTAATTTATTCTAAGAATCTGTTAATGTTTCTTCCATGCACGTTCACTTTTTGTTTTCCATTGTATCATGATTTATTTCTTCACCTTCTTCTTATGTTTAATAGTTATATCTGAGCGTTAAAAGTTTTTTCTCCTCAATTATTTATGGCATTGAATACATGTGAACGTGCGTGTGTGTGTGTGTGTACTCACCTAGTACTCACCTGGTTGAGGTTGCGGGGGTCGAGTCCGAGCTCCCTCCCCGCCTCTTCACTGATCGCTACTAGGTCACTGTCCCTGAACCGTGAGCTTTATCATACCTCTGCTTAAAGCTATGTATGGATCCTGCCTCCACTACATCGCTTCCCAAACTATTCCACTTCCTGACTACTCTGTGACTGAAGAAATACTTCCTAACATCCCTGTGATTCATCTGTGTCTTCAACTTCCAACTGTGTCCCCTTGTTACTGTGTCCAATCTCTGGAACATCCTGTCTGTCCACCTCGTCAATTCCTCTCAGTATTTTGTATGTCGTTATCATGTCCCCCCTATCTCTCCTGTCCTCCAGTGTCGTCAGGTTGATTTCCCTTAACCTCTCCTCGTAGGACATACCTCTTAGCTCTGGGACTAGTCTTGTTGCAAACCTTTGCACTTTCTCTAGTTTCTTTACGTGCTTGGCTAGGTGTGGGTTCCAAACTGGTACCGCATACTCCAATATGGGCCTAACGTACACGGTGTACAGGGTCCTGAACGATTCCTTATTAAGATGTCGGAATGCTGTTCTGAGGTTTGCTAGGCGCCCATATGCTGCAGGAGTTATTTGGTTGATGTGCGCTTCAGGAGATGTGCCTGGTGTTATACTCACCCCAAGATCTTTTTCCTTGAGTGAGGTTTGTAGTCTCTGGCCCCCTAGACTGTACTCCGTCTGCGGTCTTCTTTGCCCTTCCCCAATATTTATGACTTTGCACTTGGTGGGATTGAACTCCAGGAGCCAATTGCTGGACCAGGGCTGCAGCCTGTCCAGATCCCTTTGTAGTTTTGCCTGGTTTTCGATCGAGTGAATTCTTCTCATCAACTTCACGTCATCTGCAAACAGGGACACCTCAGAGTCTATTCCTTCCGTCATGTCGTTCACAAATACCAGAAACAGCACTGGTCCTAGGACTGACCCCTGTGGGACGCTGCTGGTCACAGGTGCTCACTCTGACACCTCGCCACGTACCATGACTCGCTGCTGTCTTCCTGACAAGTATTCACTGATCCATTATAGTGCCTTCCCTGTTTATCCCTGCTTGGTCTTCCAGTTTTTGCACGAATCTCTTGTGTGGAACTGCGTCAAACGCCTTCTTGCAGTCCAAGAATATGCAATACACCCACCCCTCTCTCTCTTGTCTTACTGCTGTCACCATGTGATAGAACTCCAGTAGGTTTGTGACACAGGATTTCCCGTCCCTGAAACCATGTTGGCTGCTGTTGATGAGATCATTCCTTTCCAGGTGTTCCACCACTCTTCTCCTGATAATCTTCTCAATGATTCTGCATACTATACATGTCAGTGACACTGGTCTGTAGTTTAGTGCTTCATGTCTATCTCCTTTTTTAAAGATTGGGACTACATTTGCTGTCTTCCATGCCTCAGGCAATCTCCCTGTTTCGATAGATGTATTGAATATTGTTATTAGGGGTACACAAAACGCCTCTGTTCCCTCTCTCAATACCCATGGGGAGATGTTATCTGGCCCCATTGCCTTTGAGGTATCTAGCTCACTCAGAAGCCTCTTCACTTCTTCCTCGGTTGTGTGCACTGTGTCCAGCACATGGTGGTGTGCCCCACCTCTCCGTCTTTCTGGAGCCCCTTCTGTCTCCTCTGTGAACACTTCTTTGAATCTCTTTTTGAGATCCTCACATACTTCACGGTCATTTCTTGTTGTCTCTCCTCCTTCCTTCCTTAGCCTGATTACCTGGTCCTTGACTGTTGTTTTCCTCCTGATGTGACTATATAACAGTTTCGGGTCAGATTTGGCTTTCGCTGCTATGTCATTTTCATATTGTCTTTGGGCCTCCCTTCTTATCTGTGCATATTCGTTTCTGGCTCTACGACTGCTCTCCTTATTCTCCTGGGTCCTTTGCCTTCTATATTTCTTCCATTCCCTAGCACACTTGGTTTTACCTCCCTGCACATTTGGGTGAACCATGGGCTCATCCTGACTTTTTCATTATTCCTGTTACCCTTGGGTACAAACCTCTCCTCAGCCTCCTTGCATTTTGTTGCTACATATTCCATCATCTCATTAACTGGCTTCCCTGCCAGTTCTCTGTCCCACTGAACCCCGTTCAGGAAGTTCCTCATTCCTGTGTAGTCCCCTTTCTTGTAGTTTGGCTTCATTCGTCCTGGCCTTCCTGCTTCTCCCTCCACTTGTAGCTCTACTGTGTATTCGAAGCTTAAAACCACATGGTCTCTGGCCCCAAGGGGTCTTTCATATGTGATGTCCTCGATATCTGAACTACTCAAGGTGAATACTAAGTCCAGCCTTGCTGGTTCATCCTCTCCTCTCTCTCTTGTAGTGTCCCTTATGTGTTGGTACATGAAGTTTTCCAGTACCACCTCCATCATCTTAGCCCTCCATGTATCTTGGCCCCCATGCGGGTCCAAGTTCTCCCAATCGATCTCCTTGTGGTTAAAGTCACCCATGATCAGGAGCTTTGCCCTGCATGCATGAGCTCTTCTGGCCACTGCAGCCAGTGTGTCAACCATCGCTCTATTGCTCTCGTCGTACTCTTGCCTTGGCCTCCTGCTGTTCTGTGGTGGGTTATACATCACTGCTATTACCACCTTGGGACCTCCAGAGTGAAGCGTTCCCGCTATGTAATCACTTTCTTCTCCGCTGTCTCCTCTCTTCAGCTCATCAAAATTCCAGCGATTTTTGATCAGCAATGCCACTCCTCCACCCCCCCCTTGTTCCCTCTGTCTTTCCTCAGGATTTGGTATCCCGTTGGAAAGATGGCATCTGTTATCATACCTGTAAGCTTGGTTTCTGTGAGAGCTATGATGTCCGGTGATGCCTCTTTGACTCTTTTGTGCCACTCCTCCCACTTATTTGTTATTCTATCAGCGTTTGTGTACCATTCCTTCAATTTCCTTTCCAACACTGTGGTTTGGGGGGCCTGTGAGGGTGGGAGACCTGGTAGCATACTGTGGGATTGTATAGCTCAGTGTTGGATGGAGGCTGTGGGTATAGATTGTAGTGTGTGTTGGGATGGTGCGATAGGTTGTGGGGTTCTGAGAATAGTTGTGTGTGTGCTTGCCCTTGCTGTTCTGTTCTGCTCTGACTGACCTCTGCTGGTTCCATCCTTGTCTCCTTTCCTAGCTCCTTTCACTTTTTTGTCCTCTCCCTCAGCTGCTGTCGTTCTGCTTGTGTTCTGTCTCTGTCTAGGAACACCCTCTTATACTCTTCCAAGTATTTCAACCGTGGTTTCTCTTGGAGGATCCTGTTCCGCACTGTTTCCGTCCTGAGAATCAGCTTGATCAGTCGGTTTCTCCCCTTCGAGTACCCCCCTATTCTCTGAAAATTTACAATCTCGTCCATCTCTTCACCTATTTCCGTGATGATTTTCTCAATCTCATTTCTTTCTTCCTGCTGCCTTTCAGTGTGTGTGTGTGTGTGTGTGTGTGTGTGTGTGTGTGTGTGTGTGTGTGTGTGTGTGTGCGTGTGTGTGTGTGTGTGTGTGTGTGTGTGTGTGTGTGTGTGTGTGTGTGTACTCAACTATTTGTGGTTGCAGGGGTCGAGTCATAGCTTCTGGCCCCGCCTCTTCGCTGATTGCTACTAGGTCCTCTCTCTCCCTGCCCTATGAGCTTTATCATACCTCGCCTTAAAACTGTGTATGGTTACCGCCTCCATTACGTCACTTTCTAGGCTATTCCACGGCCTGACAACTCTATGACTGAAGAAATACTTCCTAACATCCCTTTGATTCATCTGAGTCTTCAATTTCCAATTGTGACCTCTTGTGTCTGTGTCCCATCTCTGTTCTTGTCTATTCCGCACAGTATTTTATATGTCGTTATCATGTCTCCCCTGACCCTCCTGTCCTCCAGTGTCGTCAGGCCGATTTCCCTCAACCTTTCTTCGTAGGACAATCCCCGTAGCTCTGGGACTAGTCTTGTTGCAAACCGTTGCACTTTCTCTAATTTCTTGACGTGCTTGACTAGGTGTCGATTCCAAACTGGTGCTGCATACTCCAGTATGGGCCTGACGTAAATGGTATACAGAGTCTTGAACGAATCCTTACTGAGGTATCGGAACGCTATCCGTAGGTTTGCCAGGCGCCCGTATGCTGCAGCAGGTATCCGATTGATGTGCGCCTCAGTAGATATGCTCGGTGATATACTCACCCCCAGATCTTTTTCCTTGAGTGAGGTTTGCAGTCTTTGGCCATCTAAACTATATTGTGTCTGCGGTGTTCTTTGCCCTTCCCCAATCTTCATGACTTTGCATTTGGCAGGGTTAAACTCAAGGAGCCAGTTGCTGGACCAGGCTTGTAGCCTGTCCATGTCTCTTTGTAGTCCTGCCTGATCCTCATCCGATTTGATTTTTCTCATTAACTTCATATCATCTGCAAACAAGGACACTTCTGAGTCTATCCCTTCCGTTATGTCGTTCACATATACCAAGAACAGCACAGGTCCTAGGACTGGCCCCTGCGGAACCCCGCTTGTCTCAGGCTCCCACTCTGACACCTCGTCACGTACCATGACTCGTTGTTGCCTCCCTGATCCATTGCAGTGCCTTTCCTGTTATGTGTGCCTGATCCTCTAGCTTTTGCAGTAACCTTTTGTGAGGAACTGTGTCCAAGGCCTTCTTGCAGTCCAAAAAAATGCAGTCGATCCACCCCTCTCTCTCTTGTCTTACTTCTGTCACCTTGTCATAAAACTCTAGTAGGTTTGCGACACAGAATTTTCCTTCCCTGAAACCGTGTGTGTGTGTGTGTGTGTGTGTGTATGTGTGTGTGTGTGTGTGTGTGTGTGTGTGTGTGTACTCACCTAATTGTACTCACCTAATTGTGGTTGCAGGGGTCGAGACTCAGCTCCTGGCCCCGCCTCTTCACTGATCGCTACTGGATCCTCTCTCTGCTTCCTGAGCTTTGTCATACCTCTTCTTAAAACTATGTATGGTTCCTGCCTCCACTACTTCACTTGCTAGGCTATTCCACTTGCTGACAACTCTATGACTGAAGAAATACTTCCTAACGTCCCTGTGACTCGTCTGAGTCTTCAGCTTCCAGTTGTGACCCCTTGTCCTGTGTCCCCTCTCTGGAACATCCTATCTCTGTCCACCTTGTCTATTCCCCGCAGTATCTTGTATGTCGTTATCATGTCTCCCATGACCCTTCTGTCCTCCAGTGCCGTCAGTCCGATTTCCCTTAACCTTTCCTCGTACGACATTCCCTTGAGCTCTGGGACTAGCCTTGTTGCAAACCTTTGTACTTTCTCTAACTTCTTGACGTGCTTGACCAGGTGTGGGTTCCAGACTGGTGCTGCATACTCCAGTATGGGCCTAACATACACAGTGTACAGTGTCTTGAACGATTTCTTATTAAGGTATCGGAACGCTATTCTCAGGTTTGCCAGGCGCCCGTATGCTGCAGCGGTTATTTGGTTGATGTGTGCCTTCGGTGATGTGCTCGGTGTTATGGTCACCCCAAGGTCTTTCTCCCTGAGTGAGGTCTGTAGTCTTTGTCCACCTAGCCTATACTCTGTCTGCGGTCTTCTTTGCCCCTCCCCAATCTTCATGACTTTGCATTTGGCTGGATTGAATTCGAGAAGCCAAATACTGGACCACATGTCCAGCCTCGCCAGGTCTCTTTGCAGTCCTGCCTCATCCTCGTCCGATTTAATTCTTCTCATCAACTTCACGTCATCAGCGAACAGGGACACTTCAGAGTCTATTCCTTCCATCATATCGTTCACATATATCAAAAATAGCACTGGTCCTAGAACTGACCCCTGTGGGACCCCGCTCGTAACAGGCGCCCACTGTGATACCTCTTCACGTACCATGACTCGTTGCTGCCTCCCTGTCAGGTATTCCCTTATCCATTGCAGTGCCCTTCCTTTTACGTGTGCCTGATCCTCCAGCTTCTGCACTAATCTCTTGTGGGGAACTGTGTCAAAGGCCTTCCTGCAGTCTAGGAAAACGCAATCTACCCAACCCTCTCTCTCGTGTCTTACTTCTGTTACCTTGTCATAAAACTCCAGGAGGTTTGTGATGCAAGATTTGCCTTCCATGAACCCATGCTGGTTTTCATTTATAATCTTGTTCCTTTCCAGGTGTTCGACCACTCTCCTCCTGATAATCTTCTCCATGACTTTGCACACGATACATGTCAGAGACACAGGTCTGTAGTTTAGTGCCTCGTTTCTGTTTCCTTTCTTAAATATGGGGACTACATTAGCTGTCTTCCATTTCTCAGGTAGTTGCCCAGTTTCAAGGGATGTGTTGAAGATTTTGGTTAGAGACACACACAGCATCTCTGCTCCTTCTCTAAGGACCCATGGGGAGATGTTGTCCGGTCCCATCGCCTTTGAGGTGTCAAGGTCACTTAAGAGCTTCTTCACCTCCTCCTCAGTTGTTCGTATGTCATCCAACACTTGTTGGTATATTCCCTCTTGATGTTCCCTTCTGTTCTGTCTTCCCACAGCCCTTCCTGTCTCTACTGTAAAAACTTCCTTAAATCTCCTGTTCAGCTCCTCACATACCTCCTGATCATTTCTTGTGAGTTCTCCACCTTCTGTCCTTAATCTGATCACCTGGTCTTTGACTGTTGTCTTCCTCCTGATGTGGCTATACAACAGTTTCGGGTCAGTCTTGATTCTCGATGCTATGTCATTTTCATACTGTCGCTGGGCCTCCCTCCTTACCTGTGCGTACTCATTCCTGGCTCTGCGACTGATCTCCCTATTTTCGTGTGTTCTCTGCCTTCTGTACTTTTTCCATTCTCTATTGCACTTTGTTTTTGCCTCCTTACACCGTCGGGTGAACCAGGGGCTTGTTCTGGTCTTCCCGTTGTTACTGTTGCCCTTGGGAATGAACCTTTCCACTGCCTCTTTACATTTTGTTGCTACATATTCCATCATTTCATTTACTGGCTTTCCTGCCAGTTCTCTGTCCCACTGGACCTCCCACAGGAAGTTCTTCAACCCTATGTAGTCCCCTCTTTTATAGTCAGGTTTTTCCCATTCTACTCCTGTTATTCTCTCCACTTGCAGCTCTACTATGTATTCAAAGCACAGAACCACGTGGTCGCTAGCTCCTAGGGGACTCTCATACTTGATGTCCTCAATGCCTGAGCTGCACAGGGTGAACACAAGGTCCAATCTTGCTGGTTCATCCTCCCCTCTCACTCTGGTAGTGTCCTTAACATGTTGGTGCATGAGGTTTTCCAGCACCACGTCCAACATCCTGGCTCTCCATGTTTCGGGACCCCCATGTGGCTCCAGGTTTTCCCAGTCAATCTCCCTGTGGTTGAAATCCCCCATAACCAGCAACTTTGCTCTGCTGGAGTGAGCTCTTCTTGCCACCTCAGCAAGTGTGTCCACCATTGCTCTGTTGCTCTCTTCATATTCCTCTCTTGGCCTCCTGCAGTTCTGTGGTGGATTATACATCACTGCAATGACCACTTTGTGTTCCCCCGACTGAAGTGTACCTGCTATGTAGTCTCTTTCTCCCGTCTCATCTATTCCTTCCATTTTCTCGAATTTCCATCTGTTTTTTACGAGCAGAGCAACCCCACCTCCCCCCCTGCCCCTTCTATCTTTCCTCATGATCTGGTGTCCTGGTGGGAAGATTGCATCTGTTATTGTCTCCATGAGTTTTGTTTCTGTAACTGCTATGATGTCTGGGGACTTCTCATTGATTCTTTCTTGCCATTCCTCATGTTTATTCGTTAATCCATCTGCATTTGTGTACCAAACCTTCAACTTCTGTTCTAATACTGTAACTGTGGTGCGGGGGGTGGAAACAGAGGGATCAGTGTGTGATGGTTGGTTTGGATTGTTCAGTTGCCTTGGGGGTGTCGTGGCTGGAGTCCTTCTGCAGGTGTTTCTGGGGGGTGCGCTTGTCCTTCCATTTGATCCTGGGTTATTCTGCTTTCCTTTTTCATTTCCTCCCATTTCTCCTTTCGTTTTTGAACTCTCTCTTTCATTGTCTTCCTTTCGTCCTGTGTTCTGTCTCGAGGTCGAGTGTGTGTGTGTGTGTGTGTGTGTGTGTGTGTGTGTGTGTGTGTGTGTGTGTGTGTGTGTGTGTGTGTATGTGTGTATGTGTGTATTTGTTGTACAGATTAAGCAGAACGAAATTTTGTTTTTGCCACGAATCGGCGGAAATCAATCTGAATATAGTATATATATATATATATATATATATATATATATATATATATATATATATATATATATATATATATATATATATATATATATATATATATATGTATTATATATATATATATATATATATATATATATATATATATATATATATATATATATATATATATATATATATGTATATATATATATATATATATATATATATATATATATATATATATATGTATATATTGTGTGCACTGTGTCCAGCACATGGTGGTGTACCCCACCTCTCCGTCTTTCTGGAGCCCCTTCTGTCTCCTCTGTGAACACTTCTTTGAATCTCTTGTTGAGTTCCTCACATACTTCACGGTCATTTCTTGTTGTCTCTCCTCCTTCCTTCCTTAGCCTGATTACCTGGTCCTTAACGGTTGTTTTCTTCCTGATGTGGCTGTATAACAGCTTCGGGTCAGATTTGGCTTTTGCTGCTATGTCGTTTTCATATTGACGTTGGGCCTCCCTTCTTATCTGTGCATATTCGTTTCTGGCTCTACGACTGCTCTCCTTATTCTCCTGGGTCCTTTGCCTTCTATATTTCTTCCATTCCCTAACACACTTGGTTTTTGCCTCCTTGCATCTTTGGGTGAACCATGGGCTCATCCTGGCTTTTTCATTATTCCTGTTACCCTTGGGTACAAACCTCTCCTCAGCCTCCTTGCACATTGTTGCTACATATTCCATCATCTCATTAACTGGCTTCCCTGCCAGTTCTCTGTCCCACTGAACCTCATTCAGGAAGTTCCTCATTCCTGTGTAGTCCCCTTTCCTGTAGTTTGGTTTCATTTGTCCTTGCCTTCCTGCTTCCCCCTCCACTTGTAGCTCTACTGTGTATTCGAAGCTCCAAACCACATGATCGCTGGCCCCAAGGGGTCTTTCATATGTGATGTCCTCAATATGTGCACTACTCAAGGTGAATACTAAGTCCAGTCTTGCTGGTTCATCCTCTCCTCTCTCTCTTGTAGTGTCCCTTACGTGTTGGTACATGAAGTTTTCCAGTACCACCTCCATCATCTTAGCCCTCCATGTATCTTGGCCCCCATGTGGCTCCAAGTTCTCCCATTCGATCTCCTTGTGGTTAAAGTCGCCCATGATCTGGAGCTTTGTCCTGCATGCATGAGCTCTTCTGGCCACTGCAGCCAGTGTGTCAACCATCGCTCTATTGCTCTCATCATACTCTTGCCTTGGCCTCCTGCTGTTCTGTGGTGGGTTATACATTACTGCAATTATCACCTTGGGACCACCAGAGTGAAGCATTCCCGCTATGTAATCACTTTCTTCTCCGCTGTCTCCTCTCTCCAGCTCATCAAAATTCCATCGGTGTTTGATCAGCAATGCCACTCCTGCATCCCCCCTGTTCCTTCTGTCTTTTCTCAGGATCTGGTATCCCGCTGGAAAGATGGCATGTGTTATCATACCCGTAAGCTTGGTTTCTGTGATCGCTATGATGTCTGGTGATGCCTCTTTGACTCTTTCGTGCCACTCCTCCCACTTGTTTGTTATTCCATCAGCGTTTGTGTACCATACCTTCAGTTTCCTATCCAACACTGTGGTTTGGGGGGCCTGTGGGGGTGGGAGACCTGGTAGCTTACTGTGGAATTCTATGGTTGGGGGTTGGGTGGAAGCTGTGGGTATGGATTGTATTGTGTGTTGGGATGGTGTGATAGGTTGTGGGGTTCTGAGGATAGTTGTGTGTATGCTTGCCCTTGCTGCTCTGTTCTGCTCTGACTGACCTCTGCTGGTTCCATTCTTGTCTCCTTTCCTAGCTCCTTTCGCTTTTTTTGTCCTCTCCCTCAGCTGCTTTCTCTCTGTTTGTGTTCTGTCTCTGTCTAGGAACACCTTCTTGTACTCTTCCAAACTTTTCAACCGTGGTTTCTCTTGGAGGATCCTGTTCCGCACTGTTTCTGTCCTGAGAATCAGCTTGATTGGTCGGTTTCTCCCCTTCAAGTACCCCCCTATTCTCTGAAAATTTACAATCTCATCCATGTCTTCTCCCCCTATTTCCGTGATGATTTTCTCAATCTCCTTTCTTTCTTCCTGCCATCTTTCAGTGTGTGTCCTTTCCTCTCTCTCCCGAAGCCCATGGATAATCACTGATTTTGCCCTTTCCTCCTCCCATTGCCTCTTCCTCTGTGACTCTGGTTCCTGTCTGTATGTGGTCATTTTCTCCCTTGATTTTTTCCAGTGGCTCTTGATAGCATGGTCGTGCCTCAGCATTCGACCTATCTCCCTCTCCATCTGCACCCATCTGCTCTTCCCTTCCACTCACTGGCCCTTCTTTGCAGGCTGATATGACCTTAGCATAATTCATATCTCCTTCCTTCCTGTTCAGCCTCTCATCATCGTATGGTGTGTCTTCTCTAGTCACTACCCCTGAGACTTGCTTCAGCCTGTTTACCACAAATTCTAGGACCTTTACCCTGGCTACTGCAGTTTCGACTTGTGCCTCCCATTTCTTCGTCTCCTTCTCCAACCTCTTTTCCCATTTCACAGAGAGCTCCTTCTCCATTTTTTCAGAAAGCTCTCCTAATTTTCTCTCCCATTCTTGCTCTATCCTTTTCCACTGTTCCTCCATCCATTCCTCCCTACCAGTACCATTGTCATCTGATCCCTGATTCCTGCGAGTCCCAACCATTTTTTTTTTAATGAAAGAGAGAGAGAAAAAGAAAAAGAAAAGAGGGGGAGAGAGTGAGAGATAGGGAGAGAGAGAAGGGGAGCCTAGAAGGAGGGGAAAAGAAGGGAAAAAGGGGGAGAAAGTGAGAGAGGGAAAAGGTAAGAGAGAGGGGGGAGTGAAAAGGGAAGAGAGAGAGAGAGAAAAGAAGAGGAAGAGAGAGAGTAAGAGAGGAAGAGAGAGGAGAGGAGAGGGAGAGAGATGGGAGGGGAAAGGAAGGGTGTGTGTGTGTGTGTGTATGTGTGTGTGTGTGTGTGTGTATGTGTGTGTGTGTGTATGTGTGTGTGTGTGTATGTGTGTGTGTGTGTGTCTGTGTGCATATGAAAATGGTGAAATTTTTTTTTCAGGTTTTCTCCATCCTAACTGAGTAAGCTGCTGCTCCTGATATTTCTAACAAGGGTCGTATTGAAAGCATGTGACTTACTAATCTAAAACTTCTTATTTTACTTAATTATATTTATTTATTTTCCTGTCTTTATTATTTTTTGTTTCCTGCTGAAATGCTATCTAGTCTTATGATCTCTTACAATTTCAGGTATCAGTTGTATAACGTGGACGTCTGGGCATCAGTGACTGTGTTGGTCATCATTCTCAGCTACATCTCATTACGACTTGTAGTTTCCTTGTGTTCCTGGCTTTGTTTCTCCACCTCTGAAGCAAAAATTGATTAAGATTAATTCTGACTTTTTTTTTTTCAATCTTTTTATATTTGAAAAATTTTTTAACGCTGTGACTTCAAATTCCTTTTGACTAAAATCTTCCCTCAGAGACAAATTATAAACTAGAATAATTATCACCATTTTATTCACAACGTCCCACTACCCAAACATATTATAGAGAATAAAATTTGAGTACATAACAAGATTTGTCGGCGTCGAGGATCCCAAAAGTGACTCTGTATTTTTGAAGGGCCCCGCCCCCTTCCTCAATATCACAAAAAAGAAAAGTATAGATGAGACCTTAACCTAATGCAGCTGCTAACACTGTTAGGATCTAGACCAACAGGAAGGCAAACACAAATTTTTTCATGAAAACGGAATAACAGTTTTGCTAATTTCTAACATTTAAAAAAACATATTTACACCCACCCAAAAACCCCCTTTAAGTAAATAAAAAACTTTTTAAAGGGTTTTTCAGCATGAGGGAAGCATTCTCCATCATTGCAAAGGAAATTAAAATTTTAAAAAAGAATATTGGGAAAAAGAACTTGAACCCAAAAAACAAGGAAAGCCATCTAAATTATCTTAAAAAACCGTACTTCCAAGAACATTAATTTTTATTAAAAACTGAAAAATTTACATGTACACAGACAATGCCACTTCAGTTTCATCCTATTCATAAGAGACATCTGTCTTAAAGTCTGAAGCCGTTCAAAAGCGGCATACCTCAGTTATTTAATAGGAAAATATTGCATATTTTCAAAAAAATATATTGGCAGGTTTACAACTACACATCACAGTAATAACACCAACCTTTACCTAAGTAGGATACATTAGTGTTGAAAGTTCAAGGACAATCAGAAGGGCATTTCCAAGTTATTGCATGCCAACCAAAATTGGGATTGGTCTGTATATACTTACCCAGAGGGCACCTGCGCATGCCCATAGTTACATCAACTCTTTCCTAGGGATACACTTAAGTCTTGCCCTTTAGATTAGGAAAAAGATATCCCAATGTTTACCAAAGCAGAGCAATGTTCCAGCAGTTTTCATCACAGTTGAGTTGTGTTTCAGGAATATTTTCTTAAGTGCAGCAACGCTACAGCAATGTGCATCCCAAACAGTGCAATGGTCAGCAATATTTTCCCCAGCAGAGCTCAGCTATGATGATGGTCAACACAACAGAGTGTTTTTTAGTGTTCAACACAGCAAAACAGTGCTGATGAAAAAACACAGGGTAAAACAGGATACTCCTAGGTTAGACCCATAAGGGTGAAAGGGAGATTTGGATAGTGGACGAGAATTGGGGGAGAGGAATGGTTGAGAGATTGAAGGAAAGAGCCGGGGCTAAACCCAGCCGCTTGGCGTTGGTTGACCAGAGTAAAAAGAAAAGGCTGCTTCTTGTGCTGACTGTGAGCTTGCTCCTGCAAAGCGTTATCCGGATTCAGATGGCAAAGGACCGGGAATAAGCAGTGCATGTGCGTCATGCGCGAGGTTACTGTTTGCTTTTTCTCGAATGCTATTGTAGATAGTTGGAGAGGAATACGGAATTCATGGCTGTTAAAAAGGGCGCCTTTAAAGGTCCATTCCTGCAGAAGGTAGAACAGAAAAAAAACACTTTCAGACCAGCTTATATTGTGAACCATATATAGATCATTATCAAGTTATTATAATACATGTATTCTCTGCGTAGAACTTAATCAAGTCAGTACAATTAGTGAATTATCAACAGAGATCTTGTAATAATTATGCATAATATATATTTTATGCAACATAGCTTTGTCTGAATCTGAATCAAACCTGTTGAGAAAATGACCCAGTTCTATATCCTTGAGTATTTTTAGGAAGGCAGAGAACCAGCGATGTCTGAACTGGATCAACCGAAATTAAATGTTCGTGCTAGCTGATGATAATAATTACACCAGATGTGTAGCTGCAGAACCAAGTGACTAACAAAAACCTTGATTTATTTTGGTAGCTCAGCCATCCGTGAAAGATATCCTTGTACTGCATAACCCCAGACATCTCTACGTCAAAATTATTCCAATTTTTTTCCAAGAAAAATTGGTAATTGTTTAAGAAATTAATAAATAAATAGTATGTAATTCAGCATGTTTTATTTAAACTTTGGTTGCATAATATTATTTTGGTCATAAAATTCAATTGTTTTACAGTGGTCATAAGAGCACACAGATGTTACGTGTATATAAAAGTACATAACGTAGATTTAACGTAGGATAACACAATAGTCAAAAGAGTGAGTTATTTCACAGAAAATTATTTAAACATTGAAACTGGACCATTAAAACTTATACAACCTAAAATCAAAGTGGAAGCTTCCGTTAAGAACACATCAGCACTACAAGAGTCAAGCTGAACGGAGGAGGCATTCTCCTGTTATTGCAGAGAATTCAACATATTATGTACCTACAGAGCCTAAACGAAAAAAAAAGTTTCCTCTATTTATGCATGTATTCCTGAACCATTGCAAGTGATACTACAATCAGATTCAAAATGAAAGGCTTGCTTACAGGTCATAATAAGAATGTCAATACTTGACTTCCATTGTGAGGTCTGTGTTTGATTCCTGGACGAGTTACAATGCTGCCCATGATCACAGAGGAGAAAGAAGGAAAGTGAACATTAACAAACTTGCCTGGGCCGCCTCAGCAGAAAAGAATTAAAAAAAATCTCAGTGGGTTATCATGGGTTATTAAGTCTCTCATTTAATAATTCAGAATTAATATTCTTCTACTCTCACTTCCTCTCTGTAATTTATATCTTCCCTCTATGTTTCAAGTTTTGTAGGGAAGATTTAGATACTTGGAGTTGTTGCATGATGAGGAAATCATTGTACTTTGTCACTCTCTCTCTATAGCAAATTTTTTCTCTCACATGCTTTGTAATATTTTATTTAAATTTGGCTCAAATGCTGGTCTATCAATGTAAATATAATCATTAAGTTGCTTAAGTATTAATTATTATTAATAAGTTGCTTAAGCATTAATTATTATTATTAAGTTACTTAAGTATTAATTATTATTATTATTATTAAGTTGCTTAAGTATTAATTATTATTATTAAGTTGCTTAAGTATTAATTATTATTATTATTAAGTTGCTTAAGCATTAATTATTATTATTAAGTTGCTTAAGTATCAATTATTATTATTAAGTTGCTTAAGTATTAATTAAAATTTAATTTAAATTTTTAAAATTGCTTAAGTATTAATTATTATTATTAAGTTGCTTAAGTATTAATAAGTATTGCTCCTTTTATAAAAGAGAACCTTTGTGGACAAAATTTTGAGCACGTAATGTGCATATTTGTATTGTAAATAATGAATCTGAGTGTCAGAGGAACTTAGTAAGACACAACAATTACATGGTTTTAATAGAGGTACTGAGTGAGTATGTGAGACAAGAACGCATTATAGCAGTGTTAATGAGTGCTGAGTGTGTGTGTGTGATCAGTGTGTGCACTGTTATAATGTGAAGAACACATTATAACAGTGCTGAGAATGATCAAGTAATAACTTAATAAAGTTTATTTTCTTCACCATTATAAACTGTACATTACATAGCGTATTTCATCAGGTATTAATGTTTGATACTTCAGGTAATATTACTGGTTCCTAATGTAGGCAGTTAATATTATTCAGCATTGTTCAGTTGTTCAACAAACATATATCTCCACCTGAGAACACTGAACTACAAGATCAGTTAGAAATAACTGATCATCATAATGTTTGCATGATTCAATTAAAGCTGATGAATGGTTGCTGTTTATATATACTTATATGAGTGTATTTACATGTGCCAGCAAACATTCATCTTCTTGAATCTTAACAAGTCAAAGATTCTACAAAAGTGTTAATAATGACATTTTATACTCCATTGTGCGACTAGAAATTGAAATAATTAATGTCAACATGAGTTAATGTAATTACTCACAGAACTTCCTTTGCTATGCTAAATTACAAACTATTAATATTTAAAAAAAGTAGGTGATGCTTTGTGCCATTTAAAAGGGTGAAGAAAAGACATTCATTACTGGACAGTCTTTTCATTGAACAACGTTTCGATCTATGTTGATCTTGTCAGTCATTCTTTGACAATGTTTAATAATGTGCTCAACACTCCCACACACACTCAGCTCTTATTAACAATGTGCAATAATATGCTGTACACTCACACGCTCACTCGGCTAACAAATTATTATTATTATTATAATCAAGGGGGAAGCGCTAAACCCGGAGGATTATACAGCGCCTGGGGGGGGGGATGTTGAAGGCATTCAGGCTTAATTCGGGGAACTGGAGCACAGATCCAGTTCCCTAAATCAAGAGCCCCTCACCAACATCAAGGAACCTTCCTTGAGGGGTCGGCTAACAAAACAGCTTCATATCAGAAGAAAAATAAGGAACTGTTACAGTACATTTGAGGGGGACGTTGAGAGCTGTGAACCCCAAACACAGCATTTGAGGGGGACGTTGAGAGCTGTGAACCCCAAACACAGCATTTGAGGGGGACGTTGAGAGCTGTGAACCCCAAACACAGCATTTCCTCAAAGAGGAACTTAACTCTTCAAATGTAGCCTCCCCATGGAGCATTACCCATATATGATATTAGAACAAATGTTTTAATATCCTTATATACAGACAAATGCAATTACAGAGAGGGACACACAGGAAAATCTGTGCTCTGTAAATACATCCACCCGGGTAAGACTCGTACCGTAGTCCAGCCAGAAGAGGAGAGCTTCCTGTCCGGTTACACCACCATGGAGGGCCAATTATTTTAAATTTTATTCTTCTATTTATATCACATAGTTTATAATTTGTTAAACTTAATTTTATGCGTGTTTCTGTATATAACATCATCGTCTTTGTATATTTTGTGTTAACATGTATAACAGTTTGGTGTACGTATTTATGGTGTTACTATGTATAACACAGTGATCTCAGTATATCTAGTGTTATCATGCATAACATTATTATAGTGAGCGAAATGTTCTTATAATAAAGTTACATCAT